CATCTGTCTGCTCCCAAAAGATATGGAAGAAGGGTGTGGCTAAAAATATGTAAATTGACTCCTTGTTTCACTGTGTATCTGTATGTGGGTTCAGAGAAGGGCTACTAAACTGGTTCATGGATTGCGGGATAAAACTTACCAGGAAAGGTTAAAGGATCTTAACATGTATAGCTTGGAGGAAAGACGATACAGGGGGGATATGATAGAAACATTTAAATATATAAAGGGAATCAACACAGTAAAGGAGGAGACTATATTTAAAAGAAGAAAAACTACCACAACAAGAGGACATAGTGTTAAATTAGAGGGACAAAGGTTTACAAATAATATCAGGAAGAATTACTTTACTGAGAGGGTAGTGGATGCATGGAATAGCCTTCCAGCTGAAGTGGTAGAGGTTAACACAGTAAAGGAGTTTAAGCATGCGTGGGATAGGCATAAGGCTATCCTAACTATAAGATAAGACTAGGGAGTAATGAAAGTATTTCGAAAATTGGGCAGACTAGATGGGCCGAATGGTTCTTATCTGCCGTCACATTCTATGTTTCTATGTTTCTATCTGTGTTTCAGTGTGTATGTGTATATCTGTGTTACATTGTGTGTGTGTGTGTGTGTATGTGTGTGTGTAACTGCATATGTGCATAGAACACTTTTAAAAAGCCTTATTTTGGGTGAAATGCGTTAGTGTTTTTACGCTGTATTTGGTTTTATTATTTGTTTTCTAATAAAACTAGTTATTTTATGGATTGATGGACTTTCCTAATTTATCTTTGAAGATTTTAATTGGAGGATTCGCTCAGTGATTTCCTAGGTGTGGATTATACCACCTACACCTATTAGGATTGAGCAATACCTGATATTGCTCTCCTCTTGTGAGTGTACCTCCTTTTTTTATCCTTCCATGTATCTTAACACAAAGAGCACTAGATTCTGTTTTTATTTGGATATTATATACAGATGATCCAGGATTTCTACACTGTGAAAAGAAATACTCACAACTACTGAAGACGCCTCCTAACATATAACTAAGACTACCAACATATCCACAGATGGGGATTGTACCGTCCAGGAGCATATATCTGGAGCCAAATACACGCTCCAGAAATTGTAAGTGTATTTTGTTTTATTTATAATCACCAGTTACCTAACTACTACGCTATATTCCGTTTTCTCCTCTTATTCCCTATATTATTCCATCCCTATCTGAATTTGAAGATATTACTGAAAGTACTGCTTCCCTGCATTTCCCTTTTTACCCATGATACCTCCAGAAGGACAAACTCTGGTTTGGGAAGTTCGAGCTGCCACAAGCATAACAAACAAGCACCAGTATTCCTATTCTTTTATTTATGTATGTGACTGTGTGCATAGGTCCGTGATTGTGTATGTGTATATTTGTGATTGTGTGCATTGGATGTCAAAAAAGTGTATTACAGAAACAAAAAATAGCAAAATACAAAACAGGTTATCTACAATACAATAATAACAGAAAGACATAGGGCAATATTGCAAATATTAAATGGATTGTGACGAAGAATGAAATTCACTCACAAACTCAGATTGATTGTAGGCATATCAATTATGGAGTCTTTAAAGTGACCTCAGCACATATAGGACATCAATTCATGTAAGGAAAGAAAACAGTAATAGGGCATTTCTCCATAAAAGACACTTCTTTATTACAAGATACACTTACAAGATAAAAGCAGTATACATGCACATCACAGTATGTCGAGGAGTTTGTATGGAAATGTCCCTGAACACAGACATGCACACCAGAGCAGGGAATCCCTCTAATCTATAATCTGGGAAATTTCCCCGAACAGACAAGTGCAACAGAGCAGGGAATTGTCAGGATTGCAAGTTGATCCACCACGCAGAACTGTGTCACACCTAGTGTGGCGAAACCGGCCTCGCCACGTGTCCTTGGAGGGGGCTGCTTGCCCGCCTCTTGCCTTTGGACTATGGACCAGACTTTATGAGAATGTGTTAACCCAGATAGCTATGCCATGGAGCCCATTTGTGTAGTTAAAGACTTCGGCTCCATAGCAATTGAACTGTGTGAATAGGATCTGAGCGCTCTTCAGTAGTTTTGTGCGCTCAGATCCCAGCTATCTGGGGATATGTGAAATGTCTGTGTGTTATGTGAAAGGTTACTTTATGTATTTTAAAGTGTTTTGTGTCTTTTTGCAACCATGTGCTTAATGGAGTCTTGTGTCTGTCCTGGGAGATAATTGAATTACTTATCTCCAGGATAGAAGACTCTGAAACTGGTTTGGGCCAGAAAGCCATGCTTCATTTAGTCACAAAGGACTTTCCCTTAACTTTTGAACCCCTGGTCTGATTCGTGCCATTTTTAATATGTTGTTCCCCTGAATGGATTGATTATGAAAATGTATGTTTTATGTTTGTGACATGTATATTTTAGAAGTTAGAAATATTGTGTAAAAACTGTATTCCTCTGCCGGTGATAATGAGATTACCAATTGTGTTCAGTAATCATATCACCTGCAGAGGGGAGGATTTTGTGTGGGAGTGTCTGGGTGTATTGTACGGATTGATTGGTTGTTTTGTAACGCCCTGTGGGCTGTACTATGTTTGTGGATTGGGAATAAAAGAGACTGTATGTGACAGTACAGGGAGTTCCTGTTTAACCCTCAAAGTGAAGTGTCGTCTCATTATTGGGGGAAGGATTTATTGTATGCTGTTCCAGTTTGACTGCTAGGAGAGTAAACCTATTCGTATGGTTCCTATTCAACTGTCTACAGCATTCATATGCTTGGGAGAATTTATTTGTTTCTCCAGTTCGGTGATTTGTGGTGTCTGCTGCAGTGCTTGGAGTCCTCAGGAAGCGCTAGGAGCATCCTCTAACGGAGGTACCCAGTCGGGGTGCCAGGCGATCCGTTACATTGGTGGCAAGCGGTGGGATGGCGTCCTAGTGCGAGGTAAAGCAGCTCAGAGACACAGTTCGTTTGGAGTTACAAATTGAGGGCAACGCTAGCACACGTGCAGCGCCCCTGGGAGCAGAGGTATCCAGCGACTTGGAGCAGACAAGTATGGAATGCTCTGGCGATGATTGGATGGCCGAGGTGAGGCAGCGAGTGGCCCAGTATGGGGATGATTTACCCATGGAGGTACGCCGGGTGATCTGGAACCAGGTCACGGCCGAGCGAAACACAAGGCTGGCCCGAGAATTCCGGCTGGCGAAAGAGAGAGAGTATGCTCAGCGGAAGGAGTGTTACAGCAGCCGAGTAGAGGCTGCATCCGAGGAGGCTAGCCGTCTCCCCTGAGGCGGCCGCAGGAACCCGAAGTAGGGGTCCTCATAGACTGGTCCTGTGAGGAACCACAACAGGCAGGTGGAGATGGGACCGGCCCAGATCCCCAGCAGCAGCCGGAGTTGCCAGGTGCGGAAGCAGGTGGTCCTTACTCGCAAATGTTGAGGGACCTCACAGACTGGTCCTGGGAAGACCCACAGATGGCAGGTGGAGATGGGATGGCGGTCTCTCTACCGGCCCTACAGGGATGCTGGGCGGTCGGCCCAGATCTCCAGCGGCAGTGTGAGTCCCAGGGAGCCGAAGGGGTCGTCCTTCCTCCCCAGCGGCAGTTTGTATCCCAGGGAGCAGAAGGTGGCGTCCTTCCTCCCCAACGGCAGTGTGTACCCCAGGGAGCTGAAGGTGCCGTCCTTCCTCCCCAGCGGCAGTGTGTACCCCAGGGAGCTGAAGGTGCCGTCCTTCCTCCCCAGCAGCAGTGTGTACCCCAGGAAGCAGAGACCGTCTGTCTCGCACCCCAGCCGCAGGACAAAATATTGAAAGGGGAGACAGTTGGTCCCCCTCTCCACCAGCAAAGAGAGTGTCAGGGAGAGGAGCAGGGTACCCCCTCTCCCCAGCGGCAGTCTACAGTTAAGAGAGAGGAGCTTGTTACACCCTCTCTCCAGCGGCAGCCTAACCCACCAAGGGGAGATGTTAAGCCCCACAACTATGCAGATGGGACTGTAGTCTCTGCACTTGCAGCACCAGGGGTAGGGACGGTCGGTCCTGTCCCCCAGCCACAGAGCAGTGTATCCAGAGGGGAGACAGTCGGTCTCCCCCTCCCACAACCAGGCTCCAACCAGGCTACTTCAGTGGTAGCGCTGGCACCTGGGCAGAGTACCGCTGGTCTCTGCCCACTCAGCAACCCACCAAGGCAGTCTACCAGCCCCCCGCACAGCCGTGGTGAGGCACCTGGACATGGACAAGCTGCTATTTTATCCTGGTGTAGTAACCAGTTATTGTGGGTGGGCTGTATTGCTGTTTGTGCTTCGTGGGTGGGTTGCTGGACTAACCAGGGCACTGACCGGCAGGAGGTCAGATACCCTGTTAGTCTGGATGGTAAAGGGGAGAAATGTGGCGAAACCGGCCTCGCCACGTGTCCTTGGAGGGGGCTGCTTGCCCGCCTCTTGCCTTTGGACTATGGACCAGACTTTATGAGAATGTGTTAACCCAGATAGCTATGCCATGGAGCCCATTTGTGTAGTTAAAGACTTCGGCTCCATAGCAATTGAACTGTGTGAATAGGATCTGAGCGCTCTTCAGTAGTTTTGTGCGCTCAGATCCCAGCTATCTGGGGATATGTGAAATGTCTGTGTGTTATGTGAAAAGGTTACTTTATGTATTTTAAAGTGTTTTGTGTCTTTTTGCAACCATGTGCTTAATGGAGTCTTGTGTCTGTCCTGGGAGATAATTGAATTACTCTCCAGGATAGAAGACTCTGAAACTGGTTTGGGCCAGAAAGCCATGCTTGATTTAGTCACAAAGGACTTTCCCTTAACTTTTGAACCCCTGGTCTGATTCGTGCCATTTTTTAATATGTTGTTCCCCTGAATGGATTGATTATGAAAATGTATGTTTTATGTTTGTGACATGTATATTTTAGAAGTTAGAAATATTGTGTAAAAACTGTATTCCTCTGCCGGTGATAATGAGATTACCCATTGTGTTCAGTAATCATATCACCTGCAGAGGGGAGGATTTTGTGTGGGAGTGTCTGGGTGTATTGTACGGATTGATTGGCTGTTTTGTAACGCCCTGTGGGCTGTACTATGTTTGTGGATTGGGAATAAAAGAGACTGTATGTGACAGTACAGGGAGTTCCTGTTTTAACCCTCAAAGTGAAGTGTCGTCTCATTATTGGGGGAAGGATTTATTGTATGCTGTTCCAGTTTGACTGCTAGGAGAGTAAACCTATTCGTATGGTTCCTATTCAACTGTCTACAGCATTCATGTGCTTGGGAGAATTTATTTGTTTCTCCAGTTCGGTGATTTTGGTGTCTGCTGCAGTGCTTGGAGTCCTCAGGAAGTGCTAGGAGCATCCTCTAACGGAGGTACCCAGTCGGGGTGCCAGGCGATCCGTTACACCTAGGACGTATAACCGGACCTTAGAATGGGCGGACTTAGCGTATCCAAGAATAGTCAATATACTTGCCGAGGTCAGGAACACAGAATCAGACACAATGATGAGGGAAAGCCAAAAGTCAAGGATACCAGAATTTAGGGAAGTCAAAATGAAGCCAAGGTCAAATACCAGAAAATCAAGATCAGGAACGCACTCTCGGATTACCATCAGGTTGAAACCACGACAGGGCAATGAGCAAAAGGAAAATTGTGTTTAAATACCCCTCCTGTGGATCCGATTGACCATATCCGGCCTTTGACCCCAAAAGCAATTACCAAGTTTCCATGTGCATGATTGCTGCTGGGCACAACGTTTCCTGTCAGGACGGTAATGTTGCTCAGCACAACTTTTCCTGTCAGGACGGTAAATGCCATTAACCACATTTTTATGTGCGGATGAATATGTGACAGGAATCCCTTAACTCCTTACTTACTGACCAATTCGTTCTACGACCGGGTCGTAGGAGTGGAACCTGGTCGGTAAGTGAGGAGTACCTGTATAACTATAAATATTCATGGAAATAAAACAGGAAGAGTCACAAAGTGTATCAGTTGCCTTCAAAGTTCAATAAATGTTATGTCAAAGTGTATCACACTCTAGAGAGTATTGCATACCAAATAAAATGGCAAAATCATTACAATGTACTTTAAAATGGAACTGTCACTTCTCTAGAAATTATACCACTGATTTTATTTTTACAAAATTTAAAGTTCATAAAAGCAAAAGCACATAAATTACAAAATGGTTTTAGAGCTCCTCAAGGTAGAGATTGGAAAGTGATCCATTCTACAATGGTACCATGTGTCCAGGAAGAAGATCCCACATACACAGTAAGATCACAAGTGCAGCTCCCCCTCAAGTAGGGAAATCTAAAGGATAAAATATTGTGATGAGTATAAAACCCTCTGGTTTTACTTGTTCAGATGCCAATTTAATCCAAGAGAGGCTTTATGTTTATTCCTAAAATGATGCAATCTTGCCTAGAAATTCAATTGTATCTCCATTAGTGAGCATCTAATTTGTTCAGATGGGAGTTTTGTTCTACTATCAGTGCAGCAAATGGCTCCCTTTTGGGAAGCCAGAGGTGTGTATATTGTCCAGGTGCACACATTTCTTTCTGGTTTATTATTCACATTATGATACCACTAAGAAAATGTACAATGAAAGTTGTGTGCAGTTGTAACATGTGCACACTTTCTGCTTCTTCGACTGGACCCAGAGCCAGATTATCCTCCCTTATACACAAGTATGTCCCGTCTAGGCCCTTACAATCTGCTGAAGACTTACGTCTATCTTCTGTCCGTACTCCCACCTCTGATGCTCGCCTTCAAGATTTCCTGTGGAACTCGTTCCCTCCTCCGTTAGATGCTCACCCAGTCTCCACTCCTCAAAAAAATCGTTAAAAACCCACTTCTTCATAAAAGCGTGTCAACTAAAATGTTAAAAGCTCCTGACTGATTCCTCTTCTGCAACTGTCACTAGTCTAATACTATCCTTACCTTTTTGTCTCATTTTACCCCATTCCCTCTAGCATGTAAGCTCATTGAGCAGGGCCTTCAACCCCTCTGTTCCTGTGTGTCCAACTTGTCTGGTTACAACTACATGTCTGTTCGTCCACCCATTGTAAAGCGCTGCGGAATTTGACGGCGCTCTATAAATATCATAATAATAATGTTTCCTAGAGCCCTGGACTCTTTTCTGTAAGTGTGTGTACTTAAGTTTTGTATGTGTGTGCGAGTGTGTAGTGGCTGAGTGTTGTGTGTGGAGAATGCAGAGAGCTATATGTGTGAGAGAAGCTGAGGTTAGCTTGTGTGGGCTGGTTAAGTGTTGTATGGTGGCTGAATTTTGTGTGTGGAGGAGCCTGAGTATTGTGTGTATGTGGAGCAGAGGCCTGAGTGTGGCTGAGTTTTGTGTGGGGGAGGCTGTTCTGTGTGTTGTCTGGAAGTTATGGCAAGTTTTTAATTTGCACCACTCATGCTTAACTTTTGGCAAGAGGGTGGTATCAAAACTGGGGGCTGGGTGGAGAAAGATTCCTTGGTAGTTTGGTAGGGGAGCATTGTGGATGCACTAATACCCAATATCAGGTGTGGATAATTTTAAGAGCTTCTTCCCGAAGCTCAATGACTTGAACTGCTAACTGCAGTGCTCTGAATCATTAGGACGCACTTAAATATAGAGGACAGATAGAGATACAGATAAAGATGGAGGTGCAGAGTACCACAGTTGCAGAGCAGGGAGATCTTTTTGTCTCCTTGAAGCCAGAGCTCCAGGCAGACAGAACCCACAGGCTGCCTTATGGATAATCAGTCACTAACTGGATTCAGGTACCTCCTCCCTGAGTTAAGGGTATGTGTATGCCAGTGTTTTTCTAGGATAAAGGTGCAAGAAGAAATGCATTTTTCGTATGCAACATCTATTTTCATCCAACACCATCTAGGGCTGTGCGTTTACTAATGCTGCAACCATATTTACTCGTACCTCTTTTTGCTGTCATGTCGTATGTATCCCTGGTGTCCTCCAAAAATACACAAAAGGCTTCTATGTTTATAACCATACATCCCCAGTAACTTATGATATGATGTCATGCATCACTGACCCACATATGAATAAGGAGACTGGGAACCCCAAAGAATAATAAGAATCTCCCAAGTTTATTGCCTCGACTACCATTATGCAGACTCCTGCCACTATTCAAGCTACCACTATCCTGTCACTATCCACCCCTTTCTACTCTGCCCCCAGATCTCACTGTACTGTCACTGCCCCAAATATTACTGTCTTGCTACACCTCACTCCAACCCAAATTCTGCTATAATGCCCTCTCCACACACATCTCCCACTATCCTGCCATCTTCTAATCAAACTCAACTGTCATTTTGCTACTTAAGTTACCCTACCTCCCACTTTGCTTACACTATCCATTCCAAACCAACCCTCTATCAAGTTTAAAATCACAGCCCACAACTCCCATAACTTATATCTCTATCCACTTCCCAACCACTTTTAGGTCCTATTTACCACATTCTAAATTAGAGTTTAGTGAATAAACACTACAAAGCAATTTATGCGTTCAGTTCTCAGATATGCATTTTTTTTAAATGTTCTTGTGGGTGAAAGAGTGGCGGAACAGTAACATTAACCCCTCAAGGACCAAACTTCTGGAATAAAAGGGAATCATGACATGTCACACATGTCATGTGTCCTTAAGGGGTTAAGCCAATAAATTATATGTCAATATATTCACAGCTTGGAATCTTCTCTGCAATTCAACAGATTAATGTCTTTGTACATACAATGGAATTTAACACATTCATGTTGCAATTCTGGCATGAGAGTTTGGAAATCACCAATGCAAACAATAACAAATAAAGCTTCATAGAAGCAAAAATAACTATGACATTTGGAACAGAGCTACATACATTAAGAATTGAATAACATCTTAAATATGCAGTTGTTGTGTAAGTTTTTCCACTACATTAAAATAAGTTCAGAGTGAAGTAATGTTTATTTTGACAAAACAAAAATACCAGTATTAAGTTGATGTGTTATGAAATGACTATTGATTTAGTGCAAGGTTAGAGAAGCTTTGGAGAAGACTATATGATGGCCATAAACTAAGCAGAAAACAAGGCAACCAAAAAAGTGGGTCAATTCAGTTCTTATATTTCTATAGTGTTATATTTACCAAAAGCTGAATCTAAGACAAATCAAATTATATTTAACTGAAAAACTAACCTTCCAAATCAAGACAAAATAAACTCAGAAAGTGTTCAGGAATTAACTGACAACAACATTGGCAATAAATGAGTTAAATATAGCAATACATGAATTATCTGCATGAACTGTAAGATGGGACAGATTTATATAAGATGCTTTTTAATGCTATTGTGTGTTATTATATTTGCATATATGATAATGTGTGTATATTTATATTTTCATATACTTGAACAAGCAAAGCTATGCATTTCTCTGCATGTCTATGTGCTAATTTGCTACAAGCCTGATAATCATGTTCCACTAGAACTCCCTAAATAGATGCCTAAAATGTTTCTAGCAAATATCCTAATTGTATTCTGTAGGAAATTCAGAAAATCTCTGCATTTATTTCTTAGTACATAACCCTTTCATTATCCTGATCTTACTCTTTTACTATTTGGGTATTGATAGCATTCATATTTTTGGCTAGTTATGTTCTCTTACCCATAAATAACTTTACATTTTTATTCCATTATTCTCTATTTCCAAGCACATATTTCTTACATTATAAAATCTTTCACACAAAGGGATTAGAACTTGATATCAAATTCTCTTTTTCTTGCCTCTCTCTTGATTTTCTACTCAATTTCCATGCTTTATGCAAACCTAAGTCCATTTATCAACCCTGACTCAGCCATTACTTTTATTTCCCAGTGGCTCACACATGTGCATTCTTTAGACAACATCACTTCTCAAAGCCCTTACTTACATAAAGCAATATTTCGTATTATGGACCAATATATGACACCAATAGTGTTGGTATTACCTACTAATCTAGAATGAGAAAATTCCAAATTGAGATTGTCATGTGGTAGTTATCGGAAGTGTGCAAGTCATCAATAAAGATGTATTTGATTGTTTGTGCAAATGTTGAGTGATAAAAAAACAAATTGGATCCACCTGCTCTATACACTCCCTAATTCTCAATGCAAAGTTTAATTTTTTATCACTTAGTCATCTAGTCAAAAAAATTATAAATGGTAATGTCCATGTGTCTTTCGGTCCTTCTATCCTGTCTGTCTTTTTAGCACCTACCACTAATTATAAAAATGCATTTAGGTATTTAAGGAGGAAGCCAAGTAAACATTCAAAAACATACATACAAAAGTACATAATAAAAGTATGAAACGCCCACAAAATATGTTGATGAAAGTTGTATAAAAATGACTAACTCATATAAAACATGACAGGTGCACACACATACTACTACACTGCTGCCCATACCAACCCTTTACACACACTGCTGCCCACACTGTTAGACACACACAGCTATACACACTGCTACACATGCTGCTACCCACACTATGACCCAGACTAAAACCCACACTCATGCTGTTACAAACACACACTGCTGCATCCATACACTCCACACACAGATACTCAGACATACAAAGACATATGCACTTACACAGACACATACACAAATTACGCACACTGATGAACATACACACACACAATTTACATGCACAAACATATACATACACATGCACACACATATATCTATGAACATAAGTGTATAGGTTTCAATGACTAGGGCTGGATGAGGGCACTTGACAATTCTGTGAATACAGGTGCTTGTGATGTAAATACGGTCCTGTCAACACGAACACAGAAAATCATAAAACATATGCAAAAATATATACCACAATCATTGCTCCATTTTTTTATTTCAACAAAAATGCTGGTAGGCTTAGACAAAAAAAGATATACAGACTGAGTGCTTTCTCAGGGTACACTCTTTTGAGAGGCTAGTGGCAAACCTTTTTTTACCTACATATATTACCATTCCTGGCTGTATAGTATGTATTTAATTTATTGCCTACTGCTTTGTAAAATAAGCATATAAGCTGGGATCTCAACCAGAAATTACATCATTAATCAAACTGCGTATAAAATATATTTACCTGTTTCTTTAGCAATGTATTAAAGTTATAACAAGATACAGTGGCGTACACATGACCCATGGGGCCCCGGTGCGAAAATTGATCCGTGGGCCCCCCCCGCGCGCGTGGGCCGGGCCGCAACACATGGCGGTGGGCACCTGGTCGCAGGGGTTACAGGGCTGCGACCCCTGCGACCGCGGTATGTACGCCAGTGCATGCAGATGCACACACACTTAAAGGACCACTCTAGGCACCCAGACCACTTCAGCTTAATGAAGTGGTCTGGGTGCCAGGTCGAGCTAGGGTTAACCCATTTTTTCATAAACATAGCAGTTTCAGAGAAACTGCTGTGTTTATGAATGGGTTAAGCCTTCCCCTATTTCCTCTAGTGGCTGTCCCATTGACAGCCGCTAAAGGGGCTTGCGTGCTTCTCACTGTGATTTTCACAGTGAGAGCACGCCAGCGTCCATAGGAAAGCATTATGAAATCTTTCCTATGTGACCGGCTGAATGCGTGCACAGCTCTTGCCGCGCGTGCGCATACAGCCGACGGGGAGGAGAAGAGGAGGATCGGAGGAGGAGAGCTCTCCGCCCAGCGGTGGAAAAAGGTAAGTTTTACCCCTTTCCAGAGCCGGGCGGGAGGGGGTCCCTGAGGGTGGGGCACCCTCAGGGCACTATAGTGCCAGGAAAACGAGTATGTTTTCCTGGCACTATAGTGGTCCTTTAAAGGACCACTACAGACACCCAGATCACATCAGCTCAATGAAGTTGTCTGGGTGTCAGGTCTAGTTTTAACCCTGCAGCTGAAAACATAGCAGTTTCAGAGAAACTGCTATGTTTCACTGAGGGTTAATCCAGCCTCTAGTGGCTGTCTCACTGACAGCCGCTAGAGGAGCACACTGAACGTCCATAGGAAAGCATTGAGTAATGCTTTCCTATGGGCGGTTTGAATGCGTGCGCGGTCGCATTCGGAGCTGAGAGGCTGAGGGATCCCCAGCGCCAAGGGAGTCCGGCGCTGGAGAAAGGTAAGTGCTGAAGACACACACACACACTTACAGACGCATACACACTAGCTAACAGACACACACATTTACTGACAGAGATACAGTCAGCGACAGACATACATACACACTCACTTACAAAACATACACTCTCATTGACAAACACACACTCACTAACAGACATCAAACAGACTCACTAACACACACACACTCAGTAAGACACACACAGTAACACACCTCACTGACACTCACTAGCAGACACACACACTAACACACTAACACTCACTAGCAGACACACACACTAACACTCACTAGCAGACTCACTCTAACACTCACTCTAACACTCACTCTAACACTCACACACACTAACACTACACTAACACTCACACTCACTCTAACACTCACACACACACTAACACTAACACTCACACACACACACTAACACTCACACATGATTTTTTTTTTTTTTTTTATATAATCCCCCCATTCTCCTTACCTTTTGGAGTGCTGGGGGGGGATTCCCTGGGGTCCAGTGGGGCTCCTGGGCGGGTGGCCGGTCGGGCAGGCAGGCGGGCGCGCGAGGGAGCACTCAGTGCTTCCTCTTCAGCTCCCTCGCGCGCCGCGTAGGGATGCCGGCGCCGGAAGATGATGTCATCTTCCGGCTCCGGTATCATTGCGGTGCGCGAGGGAGCTGAAGAGGAAGCACTGGGTGCTCCCTCGCGCGCCCGCCTGCCCGCCCGACCGGGGTCAGCAGGGCCAGCCTCAGGGGGGCCCTGGGGTGGTCGGCTCCTGGGCCCCCCAGGGGAAGAGGCTGGCCCTGGGCGTACATACCGGGTCGCAAGGGCGGCCGGGCCCCCTGGTGGGCCGGGCCCGGTCGCAGTCGCGACCCCTGCGACCCTGGTATGTACGCCAGTGACAAGATATGTGCATTCATTTTAATATAGTGCTTAATCCACTTATATACCAAATACTGCTCCTCTCTAGTGAAGTTAAGAGCCAGTTCTATTATTTCACCCATTGTTGAACTTGTAACGTTTGAAAATAATTGCAGCTTAGTCAGCTAAACTATATTCTAAAGTTCTGTCATGTTAAAATGTATGGTTACAATTATTGTGGTATTATACCAATATGTGGTTTTGTTAATATAATCAAACTAAAATCCTTTCAGAAACACTCAGTGTAAATTGAATCCAGCTTGCTTGATACTTGCTCAGTTTTCTGATCATATTTCATTGTAGGATAAAAAAGTAAGATTATTTCCAAGGTACAAAATCAGTCTCACAAATACCTGTGTGGATCAAGGTGGATTCAAAAATGTAAATACAGTAATTTGTAGAATATACTCCTACTGCATGTCTACTACATACTTCCCATACAATTTTCACACCATCTAACAGTAAAGTGTTTTTAGTTTAGAAATTAGAATGTTAGTCAACTCAGAAGGCTGCTGCAGGCTCTAGAAAGCAATTAAACAGAACAGTAGATAACTTGTAAAATAAATTAACTTTAAAAATTAGAACTCTACTTAAGAAGTGTGTAAAGAAGCTAGGGCAGGTGTGGCTAGAGCTACATAAACAAATTGATACAACTCTAAATGGCAGAGAATTAATTATTGAGACTGCAGGGGAATGATCTAAATTAGAAGGGCCACTTCACTATTCTAAAGTTGTTTTGGTGCTTAGAGTGATCCTTTAAGGCACATACATTGGGGTGCTCAAGATATAAATCCGAGACATATAATGAAGTAGTGGATACAATCTCAGTTATATAACAACTATTATAGTAATAGTGGATATAATCTCAGTTGAGGGGAGCCATAAATCTTTGCTACAAAATGTAGCCGATGAGGAGGAATGTACACATTTAAATAAAGTTAGAGTCCTGGGAATACTGGACACTGTTACTCAAGATGAACTCAGGGCAATCCCCCCTGGTTTTCCACAACTTGAGTGACCCTCGGATAGGTCTCACCAAATGGCTAAGCACAGTTTCACTATTATACATCTAAAAAAGTCAGCTGTCTGCTAGCAACAGTTTGTTACCAAATACTTTCACGTATTTAACACTACACTGACCTATCTGCTGGTTCTATGGGCAAGCAAATCACTAAACACCTATGCAATTACAACATGTCCTACAGATAGGCATATACAACAAACTTACTAGTTTGGTGCAATGGACTCCTGAGGCCTATTAACATTCCAGCAGAGGGCCTCCAGATTATTAAGACATGGATATAACTCACCACTCCTCAAACTGGATCCAACAGAGAGGATATTGGGTAGCCCAAGGCCTTCATAACCCACCAACCTCTCTATATGACAGCTCCAGCTACTTCTGCCCCTCACATGGGATCAACAACGGTTTCCTTCTATGCTAAAGCATCTCTTGGTGGAAATGTTATTATCCATTTTTACCTTTAATACTTATAAACACCACCCCTTTACTATATCTTATTAAGGGGTTAACCACAGCTCTAGTTATCAGTTCTCTAACTGATCCCTATTGACTCCAAGCAACCACAGAGAAAAGTTAAACTAAAAGTAAAAAAAAATATTTATGTATATTTCTGTTCGTCAACATGAGATTTCATTTTCTATGTTTATTCTCATGTTGTGGAACAATGGGATGGTGCATGGAAAGCAACTCATAGATGTCTTGTATTATACTTGCCTTAAGTTCTACCATACAGTTAATACTTGAAAGTACATAGGTGTCAGTTTGAGTATATGTGAACTGTCCATATCATTGCCTGTTCCGAACTGGCCAAACCACCCACAACCTGTCCCAATGCCCCCCTATTTATTTATTAAATTTGAGTATAAAAATGTGTGCAAAAATATTAGCTTCTAGATTGAACTCCCTGCTTCCATCATTTGTCTCCAGTGAACAAGCAGGTTTTGTCTCCCAAAGACAAGTTTCTGTCATTACAACAAGATTATTAAATCTTATAAAAATAGTTCAGATAGATACATTTCCTAGTGTGGTCTAGATACCCAAGTAATTTGTATTTCCTGAATCATTTATCTGAGCAGTTTTAGAACTATACTCCTAACTAGCTTTCCAAATTCTCAATTTAGGTTTTCTCACTTTCTCATTCAGAATCACAAATGGAACCTGCCAGGACTTCCCCTTATCTTTCACACTTGTGATGGCTTTGGAGCCCCTAATCCATAATGGAAAATCCTCCTCTGACATAGAAGGAATTGATATTCCCCTTGGTCCATATAAATGATCATATTTGCATATGATATCCTTCTTACCCCAACTAACCTTGAAATGTCTATCCTTTCCTTATTAACTCTTCCTCAGAACTATGGCCAAATTTCCTTCTACAAAAACAACACTAGCAAAATTCACACACCAGAGCTGGCTTAAGCTCTACCAAATGTGAGTGCAACCCCATTTATTTCCTATTTTACCTATACCCAGTGAGATTTAATGCACTATTGGCTTCTTTATTTTCTTATCGCCCTTCTCTGCATATACGGACACTGGTGAAGCGTAAAGAATATCCTCGCCTGACTCTTAAACCTTATTGGTTTCAAGCATCTTACATAAGAATTTGTGAATGATATAGACATATACCTATATTACAGTGTTGTATTGTGGAGCAGCCCTACCCTACCTTTGTGTTCCTGTCTTCAATTGTCTTCAAGGGTATTTTGAGGGAAACCCACACTGTTTAACTTCTATTAGTATTAGTGCTGATCCTTATTGTTGTTGTTTTCAGGTGTAAATGCCTAGTGTCAATTTGTGGGGTGACACTCCCCAGTCTGGAACTCTTGTTAGTGTTTTTGTTGTTTATACAAGAATTACACTGTGACAGACTATGCCTCAACTTGAGGGTCTAGCTAACCCTGGTATAATAATGGGGAACTCTTATAGTCTCCATGGGGAGGATTTGATGGCTGTAGAAGTCATGAAAAATCACCAAGGCAAGGATTCTGTGACAAGCATTACATCTATGCTAAAGAAAGGAGGAATGACTCCAGAAGGGAGCCATTGATCCAAAAGTATAAGGGGTGGCTTGAAGATAAAAAGTTAAGAGAAAAAGCTCAAAAATGTCATTATACTGCAGTCAAATTGGCACAGTGTGACTGTAGATAAACTACTAGAAGGGGGATACCCTATTATCAATGTTATGGGTTATTGCATGATGATTCCCCTAAGGAAACTCCGCCCCCTTCTAACCCCGATAAGGCACACAGTACAATTGTGAATACAAAAACCCCACAGGTGCCCACAGTAAACCCATTCACTGGCCACTCTTATTGGATTTTCACCCACCTGCCAGTGGAATAAACCTTGGTGGGAAGAGAAGTGCTGTAGCTGTGGTTTCCCTAGACCCCCAGAGCACATGCTTGTGCCCATTCAGATTAAGGGTGGATTGGTACCTGCCAACTGTGGCTATGAACCAATCTGTTCAAGTGGAAATGATGCCCCTGGTCGGGTGTCAACCCCTCAATTAAGCCAGTGGTGGCAGTACAAACCACAGTTGCCCTCAGATCAGCTGGCCATGTTAAAACAATTACCCAACCCCGGGGAATCTTGGGTCCATGCTAAAGCTGGTCCAATCATGGCCAGCATAATCAATGATAGTACTGATGTTGAAAAGGGTATTTTACAAGCTGCCTACATAACAGAGACCAACAGTGGTTTGTGAGACAAAATGATTCTGGTTAACCTTACATTAAAGCCTTAGAAAAATGGGCACAGACCTGGCTCACCGACCTTTCATCCCAACTCACAGATCTTACCCAAGAGAAGGAGGAGTCAGTTGAAAAAGTATTTGCCCACCTCGGGTGGAAGAATCTTGGATATTCAGGGACCCCCTGTCCACTAAACAGCTGGTTAAATGTTTCATGGATGGCTTGCATCACCCACTCAGTGCAGCCCTTAAAATAGCTAGACCTGAGTGGCATAGCCTAACTTATTCTGACCATGTAAAGAAGCCAACCACCGTCCTTCTAGAGATAAACCACCACTAGACTCATGGTAAATCACCGTTCAAATCAGAGCTAGCGTACTGATCCTGTATGCTGGAATTGCAATAAAATAGGACACATATGGAGAGACTGCCGCTTCCCGCCTAGACAAAATTAGCAGCGTCAGCAATCCATCTCAGATAATTCCAGCCAGGATCAGACCCCTCAGAATGCAAATCCTTCCGCTGTCTCATAGGACAGTGACAACCCAGTGTCTCTGCACTCTATTATTGTGTCTAATGGCTCAAGACCTATGCCTATTGTAAATGTTACCTTGTCTAGTAACAGAAAATTACCCTTTCTTTTAGAAACTGGGGAAGTCCGTTCCGTTGTGCAGGAAAAAAATGTTTTTCCCTATGAAAAATC